CAGTTGTGTGAAAGGGCGATCTCAAAGTGAAGAATTCTAGCAGCCCCAGATTCTAGGGGTACGTTACAGTTTCAACTGATGGCTGTCAGCAAAGTGACACCAAAACCACGATTAAATGACTTCTTTGGTTTATTTTATTTCCATGCATCTGGATCCTCTACAAATATCCCTTTGGCCTAGAATTGTTCTAAATTATAGCGCTTCCTTAAAATTTTAGACATTTGTAGTTATTAGGCAGAAAATGTGTCATGAATGGTAATTTGTTTAGTAAAATCCCATTTTTAATAAAATGAGTTGGGATCAAGGTTATTCAGTAAAAAGCTGTTTTCTAGAAAAGTAAAAATTGGCAATGTATCCTAAAAAATTTATTAAAACTAATTCAACCATGGCTGGTGTAGCTCAGTTGGCTGAAGTGTTGTCCCCTAAACCAAGAGGCTGTGGGTCCGATTCCCAGTCAGGGCACATGCCTGGGTTGCCAGCTGGGTCCTGAGTAGCGGGTACAGATCAGAGGCAACCAATCCATGTTTCTCTCCCTCTCCATCTCCCCCATTCCCCTCTCTTTAAAATTAATAAGCATGTCCTAGGGAGAGGGTAAATTAAATAAGTAAAAAAAAAAATTCAATTCAGTTTGAATAATAGCTGAGGAGCCACGTGCCAGTGCCTCTCCTTCCCCACAGAAATCCAATAAAACATGCATAAAGAATACGAGCGGACGTTAACATCTTTTTCTTCACTATGTTAAAAATTGGCATTTACGTTAAAATGCTAATTTGTTAGAAATGGAATTTAACTGTAAAACCCCACAACCTACCTATCTTTTGCAATTTTCGGTACAATCAAAGGAGATAATGTAGATCAGTGATTTTACACCTTTTTCATCTCATGGCACACCCAAACTAATTACTAGAATTCTGTGGCACACTAAAAAATATGTTTTTGGTTAACCTGACAAAAAGAATAGGCATCATTTTGATTCATTCACACCAGACAGGTATTGTTGTGTTGGCTGTTGTCATTTTAAAAGTTGACAATCTAAGAAAAAAGAGGTCAGAGCCCTGACAAAATAGTCAGGCATTGCATGTTTTAAAAATTCTTGCGGCGCGTCGGTTGAAAATTGCTGATGTAGGCGAAAGTATTTTAAACACTGTAACTCATACATGTGAAAAAGAGGATATTGGCCATGAGTTGATCAGTGTTGATGCTGGGACATTATGCATGGGGTTCCTTATACTATTGGGCCTATTTTTACATGTTTCCCAGTTTCCTTTGAAAAGTTAAAATACGCAAACTAGGTTATTACACACTACAGTTAGTTTACCCAAATAATACCGGTGTCACAATGCAGAGGCTGAGTCGGTCGATTGTTCCATATCTCACTGAGTCGGTCTCTCCGTCCTGCAAATGGGTCGATTGGCCTACACGGTTATTGCCCATTTTAGGAGGTGCTGGTGTAGGTGGAAGTGGGGGACGTCCAAATTAGCACTTTTTATAGTAGGAGTAACAGGCATGGAATGAGGCGCATTTCTATGGAAACAAAAGACAAAGTTTAATGATTAGCACAAACGACACACGCAGCTTTTTACTCTGGAGGGCAGTCAGTCAAGCAGATTTTTAGATATTGGGCTTGGAGTGCCTTTCGGTAGTGGAGGGAGGACAGGCAGTGGCAATCTGATTAATTTTATTTATTTTTTTCTAGCTCGAATGTCTCCAGTGGCGGCATCAGGTGTTATGACGAGCTTTCCGTGTGGCCTGCACAGCGGCAGGCGGGAAGGTTGTCCAGACATGGTTTGTTGTGGCGATTGCTTTAACATTTGTATCAAGTCACCCAGCCTCGCCTTGCAGTGCTTCCGAAAAAGGGCAGTGGTAACTTTCAGTGCTGTCAAGTCAGGAAGATGGAGAAAAATAGAAAATATTAAATATTGACAAAATACACAGCGTTGCAGGAGCCAGTTTACAAAGGGAGAGAAAGCCCCCAGTCAGTGAACATGGCACTTTACGACAACCCACGAGGGCGTGTTACAGTTTTTACTGAAACACAAAATTTCCTCTCTACTATCACCTCCATTTTTATCAGAGGTAGTAACTGAAGCAAGACAAATTCGTTTGTAAAACAAGTCTACTCTCATTAAACTCAGCTTGGTTATTTACATAAGTGTAAAATAAAGAATGGTGGTTTGTCATATAGGCTCTTGTTAAGTCTACTTTGCTGCAACTTTTAATAAGGAATCTCAGACTGGACCTTTAAAAGCCTACAAAGGTACATAAGCCAAGTCAGGGATTTGGCACCAGACTTTGCCTGCAATACTGTACATTTGAGTAAATCACTCTCTTTTAGAGGTCCCCAAGTTTCCTGTATCTGCCAGGAAGTGACCTTTGTTACTCACCTATAGGTGGGGAACCCCATAAGCAAGGCACCAGGCTGGTATTTCAAGGACTTCATAAAGTCGACCTTAGTTCATTAAGTCTGTCTGGTCATATCTAATTCTATGCATGTTATTCTCAATATGATGTTCCAGTCAAGGTGGCGGTAAAATAACCAGTGTTTCCAATTATGTCCTGTTGAGAAGAACACACCTTTATTGAACTTATGCTAACAACTATTATATTGTCATGAAAATAAAAATATTCAGTAAGAGTTTCCAAATTCTGAAGAGATCAGGTGAAGAGAAGAAATAAATGTTTCAATTTTGTTTACAAATTCTGTATAATTCACAAAATTTCTGTAAGTTACAGATAATTTAAGACAAAAGAGAAAATGAATTTTTTTATCTGGAAGATAAAATATTTAAAAACCAGGTATTTAAATCTGGAAGATAAAATATTTAAAAATAGTTTAAATTAAAAAAATTAAATGTAAAAATATTTAAAAACTTAATTTTTATTGTTTTAACAAAATTAATTAAAACAATTAATTTACTTAGTCCCATGTAATTAATTCTTGTTTTGCTTGATCTTGGGTTAGCACTTTTATGAATCAATCAGTTTTGCCATTAGCTTTCTAGAAGTTCTTACCTAGTACAGTGACATGATTTTAAAGTTTTCAAAACCTGTATTCCAGGGTACTTGTCTGAGCCCTTTCATGAATGTCTTTGAAGATGCACTTTTATTTGTAGTTGACTGCAAAAATTTCCAGGAAAGCATCAGAGTGAAAAATGACTATCTGTGAATAACAAAAGACTCAAAAATAGCCATGGTTAAAGGTCTGGTGAAAGTTCATTATAATGTAATTGATGAGGCAAGTTGGTTAGTTCTGTGACATATAGCATTTTAAGACAATAACTGCAATCATGGCTGATTATACAGGTCATAAGAACATTGAAAACTTTTCCAAGAATTTTATACAATTTTTGAAATACTTAGTAGCATATACTCATACAAATATAAGCTAAAAAGACTAAGCATCACGTTTATTTGGCAATATTTCCTACATAATTAAACATATCAAATATGCCTAATTAGTTCAACAGCTCTCTTTTCATAAGGAGAACAAATCTTCTGAAATTATGTCCCTCAAACCCCCTTTTTTTCTTTTTTTTACATCCTCCTTTCCTTGCAAACTTTGCATACAAAATTGTTTCTCTTCACTCTTATGGTTTCTAGTAGTTTCATTTACATATATTGGTTGCTGGTCATATACGGTCCTCAAATAGTGTCGTTTAGTTATAATATCTGTGAGATGCCATAGAAACTTAACTCTTGTTTCTGTCAGTTAGCCTGTGGTAAAACTGGTTTCATTATACATTGTTTTGTTTAAAATTGTAGAACCTCTCAATGATATTAAGTGAGGACTTACTGTATTAGCATAATGTAGCAAACTAGTCAATTTTATGAATATACCATTTCGTAATTTATAGGTACATTTTTTTCATAGTGCAAGTTTTTAGTGTGACAATAGAAGAACATGTTTATTAGCAGACTCAAATATCTTTTGTCTATAACTTATGTTATTTTTCTTGTAGATAAATTAAGTATCAGAGAAAAAAATCACGTAAACAAAGAACCTAAGGGTTAAAACACATGGTTCTCTGCAGTTTTTTTTTTGTTTACTGCCATGCTTGACATACAGTAAGCACTTTATTTTTTATTGTATGCTTTATTCTTAGGCTGAATTTATAATTTTATAGTTGTAAACATCTAGTATCTTATGTAACTAGTAGGCTCAGGTAGAAGAATTTGTGTGCCTGCATTATATTTAGTGTTTACAACTCTGAAGACACGTCTATTTGTATGAAGCCAACAAACGTAAACTTTTATTTACTGAAGATTATCCCAGAGCATGTGAACTTGAAAAACACTGGGGTTAGTTTTTATATATTTGACAGTTTTATGAGTTTTTATAGCACTTATTTTTCTTAAGCCAATTAAATAGAGCTCTTTACAAATTAATTTTGGCAATATTATCTGGAGGTAGGAAAAAGATCACGTACATGGCAGGGCAAAAGCAGGTTTACATTTGTTCATATAAAAACAATGCAGCAATTAATAAATAATAATACAAGAATAAACTGTTTCGTGTACTCACAACTGCAGAGCTATTTGTGCCCCGCCCAGTGTATGTAAATGCATACATAGATGTAAACACACAGAGGAAGAGATTTTATAGTTTTCATGTTAATTCTTATCCATGACTTGCATATAGATACAGAAACTCAAAACATACTAATCTATGTATGAGTTGATTCTCATCTTTGTCTTATTAATTTTTTCCTTTTAATCTGATGTTCCCATAGGTAGCAATAGTGCATTTGTTTGGGAGAAGAGGTCTTTAAAAATCCTTTTAGATGTAGAAGTCCAAATCATCCAAGGTCTATCTATTTCAATGTGACTTCAAACCAATAAGCTTTCTTATGGCTTAAAACCAATAAGCCTTTTAATGGATTAACTGTGGTCACAAGAAGTGTCCCTGACTAGGGTGCAAAGGATGCAGCTGTCTCAAGTTCCAGAGCCACTCCCATAGACAGTCTTTGACAGCAAGGAAGACTTAGGCAATCCCCCTGAGAATGAGGAACTGTGGCAGCACACTAGCCACAGATGGCAAGCAACCCACACGTCTGTCCCGCCACACTCTCAGGGTCCCCACTCTGACCATTGGCTGCCTGCAGCCCCAGACCTGTCAGCCCAGGGGCCCTGGCAAGTGGAACGCCAGGTCCTGCTCTCACTGCACGGAGGAGACAAAGAGGAAAGCAACGGCTGCCCCTGGTGTGGACAGGATCCATGGTCAGTGGGCACCGAGACCGGATTCACAAGGTCCCAATCCAAAGAACTAGTTTTTTCAAAAATGTTTTCCCCCCTGCCAACCTGGACTTGGAAAGGAAGGGACAAGGGTACATTTTAACCTTCGGCTCTGGCCCACTACTGCAGAGATCCAGGAAAGCTTCTGCCAGCTTTTGTCAGTTCTCCCAGGTCCCAGCCACAGGCTCCGGAGAGAGTGGGAGTGGGCGTCCCAGCCCTTTATGATCACGTCCTTGTGCGGAAACCATAGGGGAGGCAAACCAGTGGTCTCTGGCTGGCCCCCTGAGAATCAAACAGACATAAAACTGATTAACAGGAGAAAACTGTACAAATTAATACAGGTTTTATGTGACATGGGAACCCTCATAAGGAAATGAAGACCCCAAAGAAGTGGCAAAGCCTATGCTTTTATACGAAAATGAACAGAGGAGCGTGTTGACAAATTGACTAAAATATATGAGAGGCTTTAGCTAAAGACAAGAATTATTTTAACAAAGTCTGTTTGTATGGGATTTTCTCAGCTTCAACTCCTCAATGGTGATAAGAATTTTCTTCCCTGGTATGAGGAGAACATCTTTCACTTGGGAGTTTTATCTCCCGCTTTTGGGAAGAAAAAGGAAGAAAGAAAAAACAGAGAACCCTTCTTAAACCTGATGTTTTTCAAGTGCCTTTAGCTTAACATAATATTTATGACAAAGAGCATATTTTGGGGTGGCACATTGTCACACTTCAGGCTTCTATGACAAAGTAGCAGACACTAAGTGGCTTAAACATTTATTTGTCATAGTTCTGGTGGCTTATAAGTCCCAGACCAAGGTGCCAGCAGCTTCAGTGTCTGGTGAGACCCTCTGCTGAGCCGCTGACTGCTTCCTTCCCACCTTGTCCTCACAAGGCGGAGCCGGTGGGGTGAGCACTCTGTGCAGCCCCGGTTGTAGGGGCACTAAGCCTGTGGTTAAGACTCCACTCTCATGACCTAATCGCCTTCCCTACACCTCACCTTCTAATATCGTTACACTGGGAGTAAGGGTTTTGTCGTATGGATTTTAGGGGGACACAAACATTTAGTCCATTGCACAGGGATAAAGGTTTGGGGCATCTTATTAAATAAGAAAGTATGCTGTGTGAGTCTCAGAAGTACATCTGGCCCCTGTAGGTAAACACGTGTTGTATGAGCACCCCACCTCCAAAATAAAAAGCACCAAAAACAGAACGCTATCAGTGTTTTAGGTGCCATTTCTTCTAGATGTGGCCGTCCGCTGACTTCAATTAGTTTTTTTAAATTTAATTAATTTATGGGCCTAAAGTCACACAAGTGCAGTGCACACAGTTACTCATTCCTGTTTCTTGTATGCCAGATTAAGTACGACTTGAGCTGGGCGTGCATTCAGTGGTCTAAGTAAAATTAACCTCTCAAATAAAGTGGACATGGGGTTTGTTCCCTTATTTCTCTGCCATTAGAACTTGATAGCTTCAGCCTAAGAATTTGCTCACACAGATTTAGTCAAAATAGGAGCTCATTAAGAAGTTTGGTTCTGAAGCAGGAATAGCATCAGGGCTGCAAAATTGAGCTCATTATTTTTAAGAAAAGCGCTTGGAATTCTATTCAAATAGAATGTAATTAAGCCAACAAAATCATCATTCCCAAACTATGGTCTAATTGCTTAGAGTCACACTTCAACTGCCAAACAAAGGCCCTCCAGTTCCAAAAACATAATCCCCAAGCAGCTAGGTGTCAAGGCTGTGACAGCTGAGGCACCGTCACTCGTCACTCGGCAGTGTCTGAAAGCACTTGGTTATTCAGAAACCGACAGTAATAAAGCACAGTGTTTGCCTAACGGGGAACACTGTCCCGCCATTAGGCGGGTTACTCCAAGGCTTCGATGGTACCTGAGACCCAGGCCAACTCAGTGAAGAGGGTGACGATGGTGGCACCTGGGGAATGAGCTGCCTCAGGAGGAGACCCGAGTCCATACCCTAAGAACCCACTCACTGGTTACCGTTCTGCACTTCTGCCTCCCTCCTCCAATGAACATGATGACAGTACTTGCCTCTTGTCGCTACTAAAACGAAGATGCTGTGTAAGAACTACCCTGAGCCATGTTCTGTTCCGCGCACTGAACGTATTTTAACGCAACAGCGCTGTGTAGTGGGTACAGAGTGAGAAAGCTTTCTAAAGTCATATAGCCAGTAAGTATAAGGACTGAATTTGAATCTAATTCTGTTTTTTATTCCAAGGCTAATATTCTTCCCACTCTAGCTGTTTCCCACAGATGTAAAAGAGTTGAGTGGATAATTGGTCTGTAAATGGAGTTACTTCAGCATTTAAAGTCCTTGTCATCAGATGGGTCGGTACATGCAGACCCTGAGAACAATAACACAGTGAGTGTTCGGTCAGCACTGGCTGCTGCTACTGTGATGCGGTGAAATGATGATGCAAGGTGCACTTTTGGCCTCGAAATACGCAGGGAATCATGACAATTAGAATCGGACTGATTGCACACATTTTTAAAAATGAGTAATCAAGTGGTAATTGTTATGCAGAAGCACAAACCGGTGATAGAAAGAGGCCTGGGTCTGAGGTCAGAAGATCAGGGTCCGTTCAGGCCATTCCCATTTTGTTATTCGGAACAGTAAGAACTGCGGGGGTGGGGGAAGGTTCACGCACACTTCGCCCGTGTGTGAAATTCTATTTGTAATGGGCACGACACTATAAAAATGCTGGTCAGTAAAGAAGGTAATCTCTTATGGGGCCCGAGGATCTATTGATATTCTGTGTTTCCTCTTTGTTGCTGCCAGCATCAGACCCGTGGTGACTGGGGAGAGAAAGGGGAGTTTAACCGATGTGATAGGGAATACAAACTGCAGGTTCAGAGCAATAGTTCTCTACCCCAGACCCGCTTTTAACAAGGGCACTTTACTATAAGCAGAAAACAGACTCCAATGAATTAAAACTTTTCGTTTAGTGTGTTGTTTGTTAACATACGTGAAGATCTTCAAACAGTGCTCACACTTGTTAAGTGCAGTGTGTGTTAACTAGTATTACTGCTATTTTTAGAGAAACTGACTAGGAGAGAAGCTATGCACTGAACCCTTCAGATTCATCTATGAAGCCTAATCTCATTGTGATGATGAGGTAATAGGGGTGGAGCCCCCACGCTGGTGACTTAACCAAGGGACCAGGAGCACAGAACTCTTTCAGCATGTGAAGATACAAGAAGAAGCCAGCCGTCTGCAATGCTGGCACCCTGATCTTGGACTTCCAGCCTCCAGGACTGTGAGAAATAAATTTCTACGGTTGATAAGCCACCTAGTTTACGGTGTTTTTGTTAATGGGACCCAAATAGACTAAGGCAAGGGGCAAACAAATAACACAATACCAGCCTCCTTCAGGGGTTGCTCTGAAGGTCATGGTTGTTCGTGTATATACACTTTATAAATGATAATGGGGTAATAAAGTAGCTTGCATTTCTGACATGAGTAGTAAACAATATGCCTTCTTTAAAGTTTTGAACAGTTAGGGGCAGATTCTTTTTCAAAAACTTCAATGAATAAAATTTGTCCATAACTGTTCAAAACTTTAAAGAAGGTATAGTTTTTATTACTCTTGTCAGAAATGTAAAATGTTATATATACATACGTACCTGTTTTTTCATACATATCTATTAAAGTCAGTCAAGAGCATATGTTCATGGGGCAAAGTCTGGAACACTCTAAGCATGGAGCTTCCAACTGTCCCCTCCTCATTGGGGTCCTGGACAGTGTTATTTTCCTGGCAGTGATCTGTGACAATACACTTGGAGTACTGCCAACCAGGGAAGCTCACCCAAGCCTTTGTGTCCAGAGTCTTTATAGGGGCTCAGTCATGCCAACCTGACCGGTCACCACAAGGCTGACCTCGACCTCTAGCCCCATGGGAGGCTGAGCTGAACTACCTGACAGTAAGCCCCCACCCTACATCACATTGTCAGTGTGGCTCAAAGCCCCCAGGTAAACAGAGATACTTCCATCAAGCAGCACTTTCCGAGGGTCTAGAGATGAACTCCCAGGGAGTCCCAGAGATGTCTGGCGAAGGCCAGACATCATGGACAAGGTTAAATCCTTCACTGCACAGTTACCAAGACCAAATCTGGGTCATGGTAAGCCACCAAAAGCAGTAATGTTTGGGGTGGCAAGTCACATAGTTAGCATGCCACCCCATCCCATCCCACCCCACCCCATCTCATCCCATCCCATCCATCCCAATCCCATCCCATCCCATCCCAGCCCATCCCATCCCAATCCCACCCCACCCCACCCCATCACACCCCACCCCACCCCATCACACCCCATCCCATCCCAATCCCACCCCATCCCAATCCCACCCCATCCCATCCCAATCCCACCCCACCCCATCACACCCCATCCCATCCCACCCCACCCCACCCCATCACCCACCCCATCACACCCCATCCCAATCCCACCCCATCCCATCCCAATCCCACCCCACCCCACCCCACCCCACCCCATCCCATCCCACCCCATCCCAATCCCACCCCATCCCATCCCACTCCACCCCACCCCACCCCATCCCATCCCACCCCATCCCATCCCAATCCCACCCCACCCTATCACACCCCACCCCACCCCATCATACCCCATCCCACCCCATCCCAATCCCACCCCACCCCACCCCACCCCACCCCCCCACCCCATCCCATCCATCCCAATCCCATCCCATCCTATCCCACCCCATCCCACCCCATCCCATCCCAATCCCAGTTTCCCTAAGATGTCAAACCTGTCCCTATTTAGACTGTGAACTTAACTGTCAACATAGAGTAATTGCACTTTAGGTAACTTTTCAAAGGGCGTAATTTTAAACATTCAATGAGTCAAAAGTTGTGACAAGAGGAAGGCCAGCCAAGTGGATAGGTTGCCTGTGGAGGCATCACCCAGGCAAGGGTCTCATACAGACATGCTTCTATCACAGTCCCATAGTGCTACAT